TGAATGTCAACCAATTCTTTTTGGTACAGTGATTCTGTATATTGCTTCCATCTTCTTTTGATGCTTCCTGCTTCGTTCAATATCGTCCCCGTAGAATCCTTCAATATTGTGACTCGAGGCTTGAATTTTTTCTTCAGTTCTTTCAGCTTGAGAAATGCTGAGCATGTTCTCCGCTTTTGGTTTTCTAACTCCAGGTCTTTGCACATTACATCATAATACTTTGCTTTGTCTTCTCAAGCTGCCCTGGTAAATCTGCTGTTCAGTTCTTTTACTTCATCATTTCTTCCATTCTCTTTAATCTTTCTACGTTCAAGAGCAATTTTCAGAGTCTCTTCTGACATCCATTTGGGTCTTTTCTTTCTTTCCTGTCTTTTTAGTGACCTCTTGCTTTCTTCATGTATGATGTCCTTGATGTCATTCCACAACTAGTCTGGTCTTCGATCATTAGGGTTCAGTGTGTCAAATCTATTCCTGAGATAGTCTCTAACTTCAGATGGGATATACTCAAGGTTGTATTTTGGCTCTTGTTGACTTGCTCTAATTTTCTTTAGCTTCTGCCTGAACTTGTATGTGACCAGTTGATGGTCTGTTTTGCAGTCAGCCCCTGGTCTTATTCTGACTGATAATATTGAGCTTTTCCATCATCTCTTTCCATAGATGTAGTCTGTGTATTCCCGTGTATTCCATCTGGCCCACATGTATAGTCACTGTTTATGTTGTTGAAGAAAGGTATTTGCAATGAAGAAGTCTTGGCCTTGAAAAATCTATCATTCAATCTCTGGCGTCATTTCTATCAAGGCCATGTTTTCCAAAAACCGATCCTTCTTTGTTTCCAACTTTTACATTCCAATCACCAGTAATCATCAATGCATGTTGATTGCATTTTGATCAATTTCAGACTGCAGAAGTTGGTAGAAATCTTCAGTTTCTTCATCTTTGGCCTTAGCGGTTGGTGTGTAAATTTGAATCATAGTTATATTAACTGGTCTTCCTTGTAGACATATGGATATTATCCTATCACTGACAGAATTGCACTTCAGGATAGATCTTGAAATGTTCTTTTGACAATGAATGTGACAC